GTGTGTGTGTGTGTGTGTGTGTGTGTGTGAGTGTGTGAGTGAGTGTGTGTGTTTAGATGTGTTCCATTGTTTTCTCCCGTGGTTTCTCAGCAGGAAGTTCGTGTGAACAGAGCAAACTCCACCTTCGTCTGTGTGTGTTTCTACAGACTTAATGACATCCGCTGTTTATCTTCAGAAATAATAAGCTCAAAACAAGTCATTTCTACAGTTTATTCTTAATAAATGCTGTTTGAGACTAAAGAGGAGGTTTTGAGCTCTCAAAGTGTTTGTTTTTAATAGTTCAATGAATTCATAGATTATCAAAAGAATCACCTTTTCAAGAAAAACTCATTTGTTTGACTATCAGTGAGCTCATCTCATAGACGTCCACTGTTTTTCTATCAGGTTAATGATATTTTCTGTCTTCTAACTTGACCTCTGACCGCTAAACCAACACTCACACAAACCTGTGCAAACACTAGACTTAAATAAAAGCATGATTTATATGCATAACACATAAAATCGTACCTAGTTGCATGAGTTGCCCCTCATAAGTACAGCTAAACAACTGAAAGTATGGTTTCCTGGGTTTGATTTAAAGGGAATGCATGAATGATTAAATGCACTTTTTAACTGTGCTTTGAATGCAACCTAAGTTGCTTTGGGTAAAGGCATCTGCTAAATGCATACGTGTTAAACAAACACATGCAGATTGACTACAGATTTAAACAACTGAATCTCTCTCTAGGTTTTTATTTTTTATTTTTAAGGTGCTTTATTGGCATGACATTTTTTTATATTGCCAAAGCTGTGCAGCATTACTGCATACAGTTAAAACAGTGCAAAATGAAACTGGTGCAAAACAGTGTAAAGCAAAGAGAAAAAGCAATGTAACTGACAGAGAAATATCAGGTGAATGGACAGGTGAATAAAGGTGGTGTGTGTCTGCAGGCTGGCGGTGTGTGTCCGGGATCCGTGTGTTCACGGCGGGGGATGTGAAGGCCGTTAACGGGACAGATGTGCGTCTCAAATGCACCTTCCAGAGTTCAGCTGCGATCCGAGCGTCGAGCGTCACAGTGTCCTGGAGCTTCAGACCGCTCGGCCCAGGACACGAGGAGACGGTGAGATGTGTGTGTGTGAGTGTGTGTATGTGACTGTGTGTTTGTATGTGTGTGTGAGTGTGTGTGTGTGTGTGTGTGTGTGTGTGTGTGTGTGTGTGTGTGTGTGTGTGTGTGTGTGTGTGTGTGTGAGTGTGTGTGAGTGTCTGTGTGAGTGTGTGTGAGTGTGTGTGTGTGTACCTGGTATTTATCACATTATGTATG